TGGGGACATTTGGACCCCATAACTTAGGGAATACCAGTATAACACATTGCACACACACACAAAATGATTGTAATAATAATAATAATACAATAAATAAAAACATTACATGACTTGAGGGCACTTGAAAAAAAAAAAAAACCTTAAGGTAGGCCCTATTTTCAAAAACTGCCTCCCTCCAAATCATGTTCTGCCACACTTTAACCTTGTTGAATTACAGGATTTTTTTTCTGGTAAACATGTAAGACCCTTACTGCTTGTAAGCAAATTTACCACAGAATATGGCAGCACAGCCCAGTACTCCACACTTCTTTAAAACCTTTTAATGCATTTCTTGTTAAACTGCTTTGAAATAATATGTATTGTGAAAAGAGCTATAAAAATAAATGTGAATTAATCCACACAGAGCTGGGAGTAGTAACGTTTGTATTTAGCACCTAAGCATCCCGAGGAACACTTTTATGCTGAAATGGTTCTTGGTGTTAGAATTTAGGGTTCTTTATTCCAGACCTTTGGTTTTTCAAATCTGTAACTGTCAAAGCACATCATTACTGATTTTCTGGAGCTCAGCAATCCAACTATACAGAGTCTCAACACAATCCCAACAGGTAAATGATTTCATTCTTAAATTTAAATACAGGTTTATTTTTAAAATTGTAAATGGTTTCCAAACAAACATGTTCTTTACTATTTTTAGTTTTTTGATCCCATTTAAGTGTGAGCAGCTCTGACAAGCTGAGAATACTTCTCTTCTCTTCTCCATTAAGTAGGTAATACATATATTGAATTTATATGTCACAAAATCAACAGCCGCGCCAGCCTCGTAGATCAGAATCACCTGACTTCTAATTAGCACCACCTGAAATCACTTACCTGCACTGCTTATAATGACATTTAGCTCATTCACTCGGCTGGTCTCGAGGTTGCAAGCTTCTCTGTGGCGCCTTCCTTACCTACTGAATCCTGATCTTTATGTGCTGCACTTATTTGTTATACTGACCTGCTGGTTTGCCTGCTGGATTTACCTGCTTGGACTTTTAAGTTTCGTTTAGACTATTCTGGAGGAGATACTGAATTAAGAGTTGCTGACTTCAGTTAAGTGAGGTTCCAGTGACTGTTCCCCCCATTTTCACAAACAAGGCTTTAGCTAGTCCCAGACTAAAATGCATGTTTGAGCTGTCTCAGCTGAAAATATCTTGACCTTTTTCTGTGTCAAGATGCACACCTGTGATGTTTTCTTCTAATACATCTGTGTAAAAGTTGCTTAAATATATTAATTTAACTAAGGCCTAGTCCTGGCTTAAGCTAAGCCCCGTTTGTGAAACCGGGCCTTTATGTTCTGGCTAATTCTGCCTATCGCAATAAAATAAAC